GCTAGAACGCAGCAGGCTTTCCTGTACGATCATGCGTTTTTGCACTAAACTTGCAGACCGCTATTAGCAGGAATGATCGTTACGCTGTAGCCCAACGCTTGGGCTCATGTTGGCCGTGCTTTGATCTTTTCCGGCATGCAAGAGGAAGTGGTCAGTTGGGATGAAAGTGATGCATTATGGAGTCGCAGGGACATCCAGGAGGATGATTACCAGTTTTTTGCATGAAGTCCGGTCGTTTTTTCGGTAAACGCTCGCTTTGTGAAAAAATGAAAAATGCAAATTTTAAAAAAAAAAATGCAAATTTCCAGTTCACTAAATAATGAAACCATTGCTCGAGCGGTCGTTTGTCAGAAAATTCATGTATGCAAATTAACTAATGTTCATTTACATATTTGGGCGAGGGCGACCGTCGCTGCAAAACGCACTCGTTTCTGATTTTTTGGCAAGGTTGAGTATTTCTCATGCCTACCTGCAGAGAATTCTACCTCCAAGCAGCATTAAGACTGTACTTGAGAGTAGAATATTCCAGCGAAATTTCAGCCTCGCAGCTTATCCGGTAAGCGGAATATCCATTTCGCTACAAATATTTTGAAGTGCTCTAAGTCGTGGCGCAAGTGCAATTCGGTGCTCATTTTAGGTGTACGATTTCCTATGTGAGAGAAAATATGCTGACAAAATTTCAGCTACTGTTTTCCGGCAATTTTTCGAGTTATCACAGTACCCAAGTTGCAAGTTTGATGTGATCGTACGCGCTTCACAAGCGTGCGCGACAGCTGCGTTTAAAATCTTTAGCTCGCACGTGCATAAAGAATATTCCTGCGAAGTTTCAGCTGTGTACCTTGCCTGGTTCGTGAAATCGTTTCTTGCCAAAGAAATTTGCATGTTTTTTGGGGGGCCCGTACGCGGGGTCTAGGAGCCTGTGAGAGAATATCTTGAAACGGGAGGGTGACACATGAGGTAGGAACATATACCCAAAGTTTCAGCGTCCCAGTTTTCCTGGTTGTTGAGATGAAAGTGGGTGACAAAATGCACTCGCTTCTGAACACACAGACAGCCTCTCGACAATATGCGTTTTGTGCTGTGTAACAGCAGTACAAAACGCATATTGTCACGTGTTGTCTGTGTGTGTATGTGTTTGTGTGTGTCTGTGTGTGTGTCCCACATTTTGTCCCGCACTTTCAACTCGCGAACCACAAAAGCTAGGCGGCTAAAATTTTAGTGTAGTGTTTCCCGTCAGCGGATGACGCGGCAAATTTAAATTCAGCCTTCCCGTACCCGCGGCTAACACGTACGGCCCCGTAAAAGTTTTTCGGGTAAAATCAGTATCTCGGGAACTACGGAAGCTAAAGGCTGAAGTTTTGTGAGCATGTCCCCCGCCCACGTACTACCCAGAAAATTTATATTCAGCTTTCCCCTTCTCGCTGGTAACAAGTACGGCCTCGTGAAAATTTTTGACGGATAAATTATTATCTCGGAAACCACGGGGTCTAGGAAGCTGAAATTTTAGGGTAATGACCCCCTGCCCACGCCCAACTTGCCTATTCAAATTCAGCGTTCCCGCGCTCTCAGGTGTCACCTACGGCCTCGTGAAAATTTTGACACGTAAACTATTAACTCGGGAATCGCGGGAAGGCATTCATCGTTCAGTGTTTCGAATTCAGCTTTCATGCGCATGTGCGTGAAATTTCTAAATATTTTTCAGTGTCTCAACTTTTTTTGCTTAGACTGAAGTACAAAGCAGTGGAAATCATTAATAAGCAATCGTTCGGTGGGCTGAATTGCATAAAACGCATGATCGTACTAGCTAGTCTGGTGCGCACTGCTATTTATTGCTGGCTGTGGCACTGCACAGCAAAAACGCATAAAAATGAGGGTTGTATAAATTCGATGCTTTTGCTCTAGTAAGTAAATCTCAATTTCCTAATTGTTCAGCGTTCTTAGAGCGCTTCCACGCTGTCATGCGAGCATTATTAGTTAATGTAGAAGTGTAATTTCTGTCGAGGTTCGCTTATTAGTGGAGACATTCAAAAATTGAAT